GCAAGATACAACTAAATTGATTTACACTCTTTGAAGCATTTTATTGACATAATCATCATATATTTGCTTTAGTGCTATTAACTCTCATTATTATTACATATATTTAATAATACTATAACAGTTGATATTAATGAGAATTGTTATTATTTAAAAGAAATTTTATTAAATCATTGCTTCTTTAAACATATTAATTGGGATAAAAGATATGTATACAACATTGCATTAATTAATTTTTCCCTTTCCAAAAAAAAATAGATCTATACTAGTGTACAATCAACAAGGATTGTTTGCGGCCATTGTTTTAGAAAATAGAAATTCAAAACAATAAATTTGATTGGCCAGCTGTATTTCGTGTTTCGTTGCAACTACAGTCAGGGATATTTCCATAGATGGAAATACTAAATACCGTAATGATCGATTGTATGAAAAATTCTAGAAGAAATTCTGATTGGTTAAATTCAACCAGGGATAATACCCTGTAATGATCGACGTTATGAAAAGAAATTTTGATTGGCTAAATTCCGTGCAGATCTTTTCGTTAAATAATCTTTAATGAAAAAGAAAACAAGAAAAACATGGCGAAAGCTTTATTGATTGGTCATATAATTTCCATAAAATAATTAACTTGCAGAAATTACCAAGAAATATTATTCCTAACATTTTAAATTGTAATATTTCTTTAATTCTGAATTCAAATCATTCATTAATTATTCTCAAAAGAAAGGTTGTTTATCTTTAATTTACATTTAAGAAATCGGAGAGCTAGATAATTGAATCTTTAACATGTATAATAACATTATAATTTCCTTAACTTAAAAAAGTAGTTGGAAAAACTCATAATAGTTAGAATAGTTAGTTAATAATTAATAAAATAATAAATAAATAAAAACTGACCTTGATCTTGTCTTTGAATTATATATTTTCGTAATGATAATAAACCTATCTCAAACAATGAATTCATGATAGTTCTATGCATAATAATTTCCTCTTATTTTATATTTGTCTCTATTTTTTCTTTTAATGAGGTAATATTTAATAAATTTGGTTTAGTGAAGACATACCTGACTTGAGAGTAAAGCGTAAATACATATTAATATTCATGGAAATTGTTGTTATGTATATTGGAAGAAATTGTATTTTTGTAATAGTATAAACATTAAATAAATGCACCATCATCATAGAAACTCAGACATGATCTCATAGATTTTTTCCATTTCACCTTGCCCATTAAATATAAACTCTAATAATTCATAAAACAATAAATATATAAATTTAATAATTTAATATATGTATAAATTTAATAAATTTAATATATATATATATATAAAAATATTATTTTGAATAATTCTTACATGTAAAGCGAAATTACATATTCATTGATAGGTAACTGTCCAGACTAGAAGTATTTTTACTCTATATATTCCTATGTTACTATTAATAAGAAATTAATTAATGAAATTACTCTTTTTTAAAGTTAATCAACGAAAACATTCTTTTTTTAAACTAATATATTTGAGATCCAGCTTACTGAGGACCTTAGTTAATAGTTAATCTGAAACTGAAAGCTTTATACTATCTATTCCTCTCGTAGTACTTTTTAAATTGTATATTTATGACTTTTCAATAGCCATTTCTTCGACTATGCAAAGATTGATGAATTAGAAAAATATTTAGTCAATGAAAAAAATGAATGGTTTCACCAAATTTTAAATTACGTTTATAAAACTTCATCAAGACATCAATTGTTTGGAGAAGATCCAGCATCAATTCTAAAGTCAAACTATCTTGCAATAATTGAAAAATCAATGCTTAGAATATATCAATATTGGAAAGAGATGGTTTGACATTAGACGAAATTGATATTTGGAATTATGCCATTCGATGGGGAACAGGACAAAACGAAAAATTACATTTCAGAATGGAATAAAGATTGATTTCCAAGAAATGTTATTCCATCGATTAGATTTAATGGGGGCGTATTTAATAAAAATATTTATCAGAATGTAACATAACACAGCACCGATTAAAAATTGGTGCAGGCAGGTTCATTTGAATTAAATAAAAATTTCTTTTTTTTACTTGTTCATATGTATTCATTCAAATTAGCCAATCAGAACTTTAATAATATTAATATGTGATCCAGAACGTGTAACATGACCAAGATTTTTTTAAAAAATCGAATACCCTGCTATGTTCAAAAATACAACCTGAAATCATTATGAAATGTAAAGTATTATTGAAACAACTATCGATACATATATATATATAAACTGACCCGTCATCTGACTTTAACTCAATCAACTGGGCAACAATATAAACTGATTCCCAGCCTCTATTTTAGAAGTAATTAGGAAGTTGGTTATATATAGGACCTTTTTTGCATTTGGTAAGGTATATATATATATTTATTTTCATTTTAACAAATCTTGCTGCCCAACTGGCGAAACAAAAATAAATCCCGGGTTCTATTTGCAATATATATGTTAATGAAACGATTTCACTTGATAAAATATCTTTAGGTCGTATTGAAATACGATTATCAGAACATACAGCTTCAACAAGAGAATATAATCATCAATCGCTATTGATATTTGAGATGTAGTTAAAAACTTGCTAATGGAATGGACGCGTAATAAAAAAATCAATAATATACGCGTGAGATCAGATTAGGTTTTCTCTTTCATATAATTATCAAAAAGTGGTGACAATAGGTAAATGGCGCATGAAACTAGCTATTACCACATGGGAAGAGATGTTTTGCCACCACAACGGGAACAGTCCATTCACTAGAAAACACACACAAATAACCGTTCATCCCATCCGCTATGTTTTTTCAGAAACAAATTTTTGTTCGCGATTTCTACTCGTTTACCTGATTCTAAATGTTTTATACAAAACGGTCACAACGGTAACAATTGATACTGGTTACAAAAGTCAATACAAGAACCCCGAAGCCATTTTTCTTGCAACAATTTGATTAACTTCATTGGGCATCAAGCTCTGTAATATAAACCCCAGTTGTATTTCGTGCTTTTTGCCTTGATTGAAATAAGAATAATGAAAAACAGAAGCTAGTCAATGCTATGCAATAATAATATGAGCACCGAGAAAAGAAGGATCAATATATCATTTACACAAAACAACGAGATGAAAGGAAATAAATAGATAAATAACATCGCAATCGGTATATATTAGAAGATGAAAAGCAAACGATAACTATTAATAGATGATGGAAGAAAAGACGACTTGAAATATATTAATATGATTTTGAACCAGATAGTCCATTTTTTTTCTAAATATTACCCGGTCTCCTGCTACTACGACTTTGCAAAATCATCATGCACATTTATAATTACATTTTCATGTTACATTTTTTTGGAACCAATAACAGGGTTAGTTAATCAATCTGCATTAGTAATCTAAACGGATAAGTATTCTATGTGTGGTCTTTGTATCCGTTTTCTCTTCTTCCTCGACAGGTTTTTTCAAATGATGCCACCCATCAATTTGATTAAATTCTTTTCGATTCATTTTCGCTTATCGTCTTGGAATTCTTGCTTGTTAGTTGTTTAGCGTAAACATACTCTTCAATGATTTTATGTAAAGCCTGCTCTAATTTGCAGGTCGAACTTTGACGATCCATCAATAGAGATAATATTTGAAGAAAATAAGATATTATCCGGTCCCATTGAGATTAACAAAGTTTTTGTTCATTGCCATTAATGAGATACTTGAATAGTAGGTTTTGATCCCTGAAACTTCTTTGTGACACAATGCAGTATCCCCATATTAATATATATATAATAATAATAAAATATAAATAAGTTGGCAAAAGTTTTATGTAAATCTGTGACCAAGATTATTTTTAGTAAAATTATTTTAATAATGAATTTTTTTCAGTGCATCTTGTCCAATTTTTGGCCCTTGACGGACGGACTTGTTGATGTCGCAGCCAAATATATTCGAAGCATTACAACTTTCCTAATTGTTAGTATGGAATTTATCGTTATTGATGAAGAGTTGATTACTGGCAGCAAATCTTTGTGTTGTGACCTCCATAGTGATGAGGTATAAAGAAAGTTTGAGAGGAAAAATTCATTAATAAAATATCTGAGCATTTGCAGAGAAAAGATCAAATTTTGGATTGGGTTGTCTGGTGATTTGTCAGATGATTTAGCTGATATCCTAAAACAAATTCATGCGATCCAACTGCTCTCTATACGAACATACACACACACACACACATTCACATATATATCTGAAGTATAACATGATTCGATCAACTCTCAAGTGGAAGTGGGTTGGGTCTGTAACGTTATAGTTCTAGGAAGTTCATACAAGGGTAATGCTAGGGTAGTAACAATTTAAAAAAATGAAAGATTCTTTGGTTTTCAAAAAAGAAATTTGTCAACAGTGATTTTTTGTTCCTTATTAAATCAACAATAATATTGATGTGTTCATCCAATATCTTGCCAGTGAATTATAAGAATAATGTTTATTCAATTTTAATAAAATATATTATGTAAAATTTATTTCCTGACCAAAAATTTATTTTGGCCTTTTTCAACCAACCACCATCTTTATATTTAAAACAAATCTCAAAGAAAACGTCTTTGAAATTTGGCACACATGTATTAAAAATCAATAAATTACAAAAATAAATTCTAAAAATTAATATAAAAAATAATTACAAATTATAAATCACTGATAATAACAATATGACAAATGCATAATGATAATTTATTATCATGTTTATCGACTTGGTTGATGAACTAGTAGGATTATTATTTGGTGTATTCGGATTTGTGCTTGGAGGTTTTGGATTATTTGGAGCTTTTGGATTATCGACCGTTGCATATCTAATAATGATGGTGATGATGATGATGATGATAATAGTAAACAAACATTGCGTATATATTTGGATATTTATGATAATCACACACAGAATATATACATACATATATATATATATATATATATATATTTATTTATTTATCTACTTACCCAATTGATGACATTATGTCAAGTAACAAAGGACCGATTGCACCGCCGCTGTAATTACCACCCAATTGAATCAACTTATCAGTAGTAGCACCAGGTTCCAGGGAATGTCTCATCAAGAAATCAGGAGTATTTGTATAAGTTTTTTGATCCAAATGGCTAACACTTGAACCTCGTTGATAAGAGATAGCAGTCTCCAAGAAACCACCTTCCGGTACGTTGGCTTTTGGGGCAGTTGGTACAAAAAGCAATGATTTTGGAGTTTGGGCAGTTTGGAGAAATGACTTGCCCGATGTATATGCTTGTGAAGCTTTGAATTTGGTTATGAAATCATTGGGATCAATAAAAGTCGTCTTTGGTATAACATATGTATTGAACTCGGTTGTTAACTTTGTAAGTGTTTTGTTGTTTTGTGTAAGTATTCTCACTTGTTTAGTCGAAGAAATGGCTATTGAAAAGTCATAAATATACAATTAAGTAAAAGTACCGATAATGATAATTTTATAAATATTTATCAAGCGATAATAATAAAATTAACCCTTACGTTAAAAGAACCGCAACAAATATATTTGGAGAAATGGTTTTTTCCTCAAATAAAATAATTGCATTTTCACATCTTTTTACCCAATTTTCTGATAAAGTTATATTATTAAAATATAAAGATCTTGCTTTTAAAATTGTAGAATGAGCTTTAAAAGTTTCTTCTTCTTCATCTCCCACTGTGATATCGTGTCTATTAAAATCGTTTTCTGCGTCATGCCTATTTTCGAACTCTATTAAAGCGATCCTAAAATCAATCAAATAAATATTTCCAAGTAAATATATATAACCTATTATTGATTTTTTGACTAGAAAAATTTTCGATAATTACCCTCCTCCTCTGCTATTATTTAGATCAACATTCAAACCCCCATATTCTTGAAACATGTTAGGCGCATTGTGTTGAAAAAGCAGAGGGAACATATTGATAACACGTATAGTTGTAGTATATGGTATGGATGATTCATTATATGTATCCTCGCCCGGCAATGGACTTCCTTTTCTTTTACCTTTATTATTATTTCTTTTAAATGATAATTTACGATAATCAAAAAATGGTCGAGTTTAAAAATATAACAGATGATAGTAGATATAATATAAAATAGAAGCTGCTAACTAACCTTCTGTTCATAACAAATTTTTATCGAGAAAAAAATTTTATCCACAGGAAAAACTTTAACCAAGCCAATAAACAATTAGCTAATGAAAGTTTGAGAATTCCAAAAGGCCAGCAATTACAGAAAGAACTCCCAAGAAATAAAAGCAAAAGTGAGATTTTACGAATTAATATTATTAATATTGATGATTGAGAGAAATTTTTTTTTATAATATTTATATACGAAACTCCCAGATGACAGATGAGATAAATTTTACACAATCTGGTGTATCTGAATATTAATATTGTTCTAATGGCGTACATGCAGTAATTAACAAACCGGTTTTACGACTGGTAATTTTTACGAACTTTATTTTAAGATAATTATGATAATTTAAGATTGTGGGATGTACTTCAAGTATCCCAAGTATCTTTCTTAAAAAATAATTGACCTCAAGTCTTGATGAATGTGATTCACGATGACTTGATGGACTTGGTTCTTGTTTTTCACGAAAAGACCTATCAATGCCGAAACTATTGATGTGGCACTCTGCCCCTAAAAAATGATATATGCATTCATTTTGTCTCAACTGAATTTTCTATCGGGAAACTTGGAGTTAGCTGGTTGTCTTAGGATTACGGAGGCAGTGAACACCCTATATTAATTACAGGGGAGTTTACAGTAACATGAGCCAGATTTATTATTACTTTTGCAAATGATTTTTAAAGAACTCGGCAATTATAAACCAGAAAGGAACCCAGAGACAAAATGCATGACAAGGCGATGGAACTCCCATCTTACATGGGGCTTGAATTAAAAACACTGTGTGTTCCTGGAATCGGTGTATAGGCGCAGTCGAATTTCATTATAAAAATCTGCAACGCAAGGTAAAAGAAAAAGAAAGTAATTTTTTTGCAGCTATCCAAGCCGTTTATTCTTGTGGGAGTATGCTCTTTGTCAACCATGTAGAAGCCTCGAAAAAAATGAATATTGAAATATTGGTAAGATCCTACCAGCGCACAAAAGGTACTCTAATTTGCTGGTTTTTCTGGTATAATTTTCATTTTTCCCGTGAACATTTTTTATTATTTCCGACGAGCATTTTCATCCCATTTCAGTCGCATGACATTTCCCACCGATCTATGGCAAAATTTTATAATCGAATGTATTCACACCCTCATTTGATACCCTTGCCGTGTAACAACCACCATCAAATTTGAGATATAACTTCTTTATTATATGTATCTGCTTTAAGAAAATTTTTAAAGGCAGGTTGTTAATAAACCGAAAATAATCTGACCTCAAAGTCAAATTTTGTCATTATATTCATATATGTAGAATTTTGTTTGGCGTGTCCAATTGCAAGTATAAGTAGAAATAAATGTCCAATATTACATTATTATGACTATTTACAGATTTTTGATCTCTTATATAGTAAAATCATTTATTTCAAAAGTAAATAAATAAATGATATTAAAATTTTCTTTACCTATATACATAAATAATGATTGGAATAATAAACAAGCAACAATAATAATTAAAAGGTGTTTTATCTCTGACTTTATACATTTAATTATTTATCATAGAGACGTTATTAAATATAAGTTAAAATAAAGAGAAATTTATATACATAAATAAATAACAAATATAACTATTGAATGATTGATAAACCATTCGTTAGTATATTTTGCAAGCTTCATATATCTTGACCTTAAGACTTACTTTGATCACTACTATACAAACTATTGGATAATTGATAAAACATTGTTAGTATATTTTGCAAACCTCATAGATCTTGCCCTTAATGCTTACTTTGATCACTCCTATGAATAATTGATAAACATTCATTAGTATATTTTGTTCATAAATCTTGCCCTTAACACTACTTCAATCTAAGGTTGCTTGCCGAAACTCCTCCAGAAATCAATCAGCAGGTTACACATCAATTGTTTATTAGAGTTTTGGCAGAGTTTTGCATTTTGAGGTTTCACCATTTCAGAATAGTTTCAACAGGATTTTTGATAAGAATTAATATAGTTTGCTGTGGTTTCAGCAATTACTAAGGAGGTTTTGCCCACAACCTTACTTCAATCACTCCTATACAATTAATTATTGAATAATTGATAAAATGTTTGTTAGTATATTTGCAAGCTTCATAGATCTTGTCCTTAATGCTTACTTCCAACTCCTACATAAACTGGATCTTAATCTTTATTATCATCATCAAAAAATGATGATTCATTGCATCAGGAAAATGGGTACAAATATTATGCATATATAATATGCAATTGCAGGGATTAAGCATATAATATATGTACAAT